GAGAGACCCTGTCTGAAAAAAAAAAAAAAACATAAAAAGTGCTGGGATGTGGCTCAGTAGTTAAGCACCCCTGGGCTCAATTCCTAGAACTATATGTTTCATGAATATGCATGACTTTTATATGATCATATGCTTATTTCTCTGCATAGAATTAAATAATGATATACATCTAGACATTTTTCCTGTCTTTATCCTCTGACTCCTATTTCATTTTCCTAAGAAGGAAATACCTGTCTTCTTAATCTCACCATTTCCCAAAGGAATTTGTCTGGGACACTTGGATCCTATTCAGAATGCTGAAAATTTGGGGGTAATACATTGTTCAATGAATGGTCTCAGAATTAATGACATAGATCATAGACTTTTTCTACAGAGAACACAAGCATCTCTTCCTTCTGTGCAGGTCTAGAGAGCCTGGTGCTAACCTATGTCAATGCTATCAACAATGGAGATCTGCCCTGCATGGAGAATGCAGTCCTGGCCCTGGCCCAGAGAGAAAACTCAGCTGCAGTAGAAAAGGCCCTTGCCCACTATGACCAGTTGATGGGCCAGAAGGTGCAGCTGCCCACAGAGACCCTCCAGGAGCTGTTGGACCTGCACAGGGCCAGTGAGAGAGAGGCCATAAAAATCTTCACAGAGCACTCTTTCAAGGATGAGGACCTAAGTTTCCAGAAAGAATTAAAGGTAATTATTTATTTTTCTTGTTCATGGGCATTGGGTTAATAGAATGAACAATACTGCTATGAATAATACAATAGGAATGGTTTAAGAAAAGCAATTCCTTCTATATTGGAAAACAATGGTGATCATTAATGTGGCATGATATACTTTCCTTCTGAAAACAAAAATGTGTAAATATTCTGGGACTTTTACAGTCTGAATTTTTCACATAGTCACACAGCTCACATTTACCATTTAACATCCATGGAATTAATTTGATTGATTGATTCATTCCTTTAAAACATTTGCAAAATATTATTCTTGTTTTTCATTAATTAAGCAGAGAAAAACTGTCCTTTATATCTACTAAATTACGATTAGGATTAATAGAATAAACTGACATCATTCCAACCAATTATTCAAATCTGTTTTCTGCTTGATGTACGGAAATGTTGGAAAACAGTAGGCTGCATTTAAAATGAGGGCTTGAGGCTAGGGGTCTGTGGTCTTAAGATCACATTTAAGCAGAAATTAAAAGACACAGGAATTTCGGAATATTTCATAGACAAATGTAAATATTTTTCATAGACTCTCGTCCTTGCAACTTCCTCCAGGATTGCTGGCAAGGATATAGTCCTTGGAATTTCTAAGAAAAATAGAGACTTTAAAATATAAATTTCAGAAGTACTGAGGTATGTTTAACACCTCTGTGGGTTCCTGTCCCTTTGAAGACCCTACTAGATGCAAAGCAGAATGACATTTGTAAGCAGAACGAAGAAGTCTCTTCAGATCGTTGCTCAGCTTTGCTTCGGGATATTTTTGGTCCTCTGGAAGAAGCAGTGAAGCAGGGGGTTTATTCTAAGCCAGGAGGCCATAATCTCTACCTTCAGAAGACAGAGGAGCTGAAGGCAAAGTACCATCAGCAGCCCAGGAAAGGAATACAGGTATCCCTGGTTCTGTCTATTAATTATGGGAATTTCTGAGGCCTCTCTAATAAGCCACTGAGGACAGGAGAAAGGAAATGTCTAGAGGAGTAGAGATGAGATTGTTGTCTCTGCCTCAGACTCACTGTCACTGAATGAGCATGCATGGGTATTTTGTGCTTGCTATTTAGTTTCAAGTGTGAACACATTCCAGAGTTGAAACAGTGTCAGCAATTCTCCTGCTTCCTTTTGATGTTCCAGCACTTCTTCATTATTGTGCTCCATTTTCCTCACTATTGACTCTATTTTCAAAAAGGCTTGCCCGACCGATCCTTACTACCTTAGTGACAGAGCAAACACTCTTGTTGCAGTGAGTTTTTTTCATCTAGTGGCGTGGGTGCTCTTAATTGCCCTGACACGTTCTGAACCCCACCTGTGGAGAGGCTTGATGGAACAAAAAACGTGATTTTATCACCTTGCCAATCACCACTGCCAAGTTCTAACTGTATGTTTTTGGTGTTCCTAGGCTGAGGAAGCTCTGCAAAAGTATTTAAAGTCCAAAGAGTCTGTGAGTAAAGCTGTTCTACAGACAGACCAGGCTCTCACAGCCAAGGAAAAGGAGATGAGAGGTGAGAAGAGAACAGAAACAAAGTAAGAGAGACAAAAAAATGTCCAAAAATGTGAAATTCATATATTCTGGCCCAGCTGAGTTCATTCAACTAGAATAAGACAGGCAAAGAGGTGTCCTATCCCCACAGGTGGTACCTGAGTATGGCAGGATCAGGTGCAATATGGTTATCTTGAAGGAAAAACAGTGCCAGGGAATTTTCTCTGTGGGTTGGAGCAATAACAAATAAGAGTGGGAAGCCCAAGGGAGGGACAGAACAGTTCTCCAGGGTTTTTTGTTTTGTTTTTACCTTTTCTTCTTTCTCTTCAGAGGCACGTATGAAAGCAGAGGCTGCCAAGGCTGAAGCAGAAAGGTTGGAGGCGATTCGTAGGCAGAAACAGCAAATGATGGAGGAGAGGGAGAGACTCCATCAGCAGCAAATAAGACAAATGGAGATAGATAAAGCAAACTTTCAGGCACAGCAACAGAGGGAGCAGGAACGTCGACTCCAGGTATTGATTAATTGTTGCATCTCAGGATTGTGTTTCTGGCCCTTCCCTATAAGGATGAAGGCATGAAAGAGTGGCCATTGGGGAGATGCAGACTGCTATGGTGGCTCAGAGTGGAGTCTGTGGAGCTAGTAGACTGCTGGGTTTGCATCAAGCTCAACTTTACCAAATGCATGGTTTAAGCAAGCTATCTATTTATTTTCTCTGTGTCTCCTTTTCTTCTTGTATAGAATGGAAATGACAGTTTCATATATTTTATATTGTGATAATGAAATGCATTAGTACTTGCATTTAGAATGGTATTTGGCATAGAGTAAAAAATATAATTTTTTATATATAGGCTGAGGCATTTCTGTCCCACAGTGATTAGCCTTTTCTGTTAATTTGTTAGTTGGCTGGACAATCCTTTGTCTTGATCATACCTTGTTACATCAACTTCATATCGCAGTGTCTTTGCTCTTGTCATCTCTGGTTGATGACCTTGAACTCACAGTGCTTGTTTCACCAAGTCCTGTAGTTTATCATCACTCAACAAGCAGGAGTTCTTCTCTCCCAAGCACTGTACAAAGCCCTCTGCATGCATTCTCTCATCTTATCTACTTACTGTGAAGCAGAACTATTTTGTCCTCAGTTTTAAATGAGGTAATCGAGGTCTCAAGGAAATAACTAAATGCCAGTATCTCACAGTCTTGTGAGTCAATGAAGCTGTCTTTCCAGTGAATGGGATCCGCAGTGTTGCTGTTCCCGAGATCCTTGGAAAATTCCTATGTAAGCACCTCAGACAACATCCCAATCTTGCCCTGACTTAACATGGAAACTATGGGTACCCATTTTTTTAGTAACTACCCTATGGCATTTTGGGGATTGTAGCTTTTTCCTGAAAGGCATTATTGGCAATCTTGGTGTTTGATCTGCTCGGTCTTTTCTTGTACTTTTCCCTCCAAAGTGTATTGACCTGGAACATATCCCTCATCTAAGGTCCAGACTCCTCTCCTGATTGCACATCACCTAGACATTGTGCTTTTGTTTCAGTTTCTTCTCTTACAAACATAGTCAATATTTTCCTAAAAATTGGAAAGAGATAGGGATAGAGAATTGAGGTCAAGATGTAACGAAGATTACTGAAGGAAATTGTGTAGTGTAATTGGGAAGGGAGCCCTGGGATGGAATTCTAGAGACAGCAACATTTCAGGGACTGAAACAATGTTTCTGGAGGTAGAGGAAGACCAAAGTGAATAAGTGAATACAGAAGTAAGCTGGAGGTAAATTAGTGGAAGAGGGAGATTCAGGTACTGTTTATTGTTCCTATGGATTAAAGGAAATAAGGACAAGTCAACAAGCAATCAAAATGAAGCAGACCTTACTTTTTGCTAAGTATTATTATGACTATTTTCACTTAGGAAGAAGCCCAGAGGCTCAAATTGATCCATCAAGCTCAAATTGCAAGATTTCAAGCTCAGATCCAGCAGCTCCAAAGCACAAGGCCTCAGCCACAACCTGATCCATGTTTGATACTCTAAAATGCTAAACATTAAAGCTTCCTTTTCTTATTTCTTTTCACTGAAGACACAAAGGAACAAGAAACTAAAGAACTTGGGACAATCAACATTTTAAATGCCTAGTCTTCTGCCTAGTCTTCCAGTTTGTCTCTAGGTATTGCAAGTTACCCAGGTGTCTAGTTATTGCAAATTACTACATGGGCTCAGTCAAATGGAAAGGTACCCAGGTCTGGGGTCAGTAGGGCTTCACTTCTACTGCTGGTCATGTGCTGGATACCATCAGAGGGAGGCACCAGTGGTAAAGTAGGAACAATCTGCAGTTCTCACCTGGGTGGAGACTGCTATTCTATGGGCAATGGTACAAATCATCAGCACTGTCAGTTCACCTTCTGCAAAGAGAAATCCCAAGCTGAAAGAAAACAATGTTATCATGAAAGGGAGATCTTTAGAGGATGAAAAGAAATACTACTGTGGAAATTGTGTCATAGGCTTAAGGACTAAAGAAAAAGCCTTTTCCTTTTACTCATCCTCAATAAGTCATGACTTAGAGCATGTTATAATAGGTAACAACTTATTTGTGACTTGATATTTTTGTGTTACATTTTTATAATCCTTTAGCTTGTAAATAGGAGGCATAAGTAATAATGTGTAATTAGCCAAAATTATAATGGTGCTCATTTAATTTTATACTTGGTATAATGCTAAAGTTAAATCATCATACCATATGAAAGCCTGCTGGCATTTTTTAAAAAGTATTAATTGTATGGGCTGGGGTTGTGGCTCAGCAGTAGAGTGCTCGCCTAGCATGTGTCAGGCCCTGGATTCCATCCTCAGCACCACATAAAAATAAATAAATAAATAAATAAATAAATAAATAAATAAATAAATATATTGTGTTCAACTACAACTAAAAAATTAAAAAAGTATTGATTGTACAAATGTATCTGTTAGTACCTAGTTTTAACTATGAAAATATTTTTAAACCATAACTCTGTTGCTTTGCTTTTATGTCTCTCAGTATATAAAATTCTATGGGGAAAGCTTCTGAATTTCCCTCAGAAGATCAGGAATTACTTTAAAACTGGAACTAAATTGCTTTTTGCAATATCTTTTTGTTTTCTGTTTGTTGTGTTTAACTCTAGTAAAATATGCTTTAAAAATTATAGGACCACCCCACAAAGCTCTAGTTTTTTCTCCCTTATAACTGTTTGCTTATGTAAAGATTTTATTTTGGGTGATATTATAGGATCTTTACGTTTTTTTGTAAGTTCCTCAAAATATGATTTACTCATATGCAAAAGAAATACACATTAATGTTATTGACTGTACTTTTTCTTATGCTTTGTAGTGTTTTATTTCTCTGAATTTCTCATAGTATAGCAGCAATAGTAAACATGTATGATTTCTTTATTCCTTAGCATCATAAATAGCTAATAAAAGCAGGTAATATTTTGTCAGTGCCTGTTGTGGTCACTGTAATACCTCATGCATTGTTCACAAAATCCTTTGAGCATGCAGTATTGCTTTATTACAATTATCATTACTTAAAATATTTCATATTTATTAGTGTTATTATTATTAAAGTTATTACTTTTAAGGCATTCAAGATAATTAAGTCACCTAGAGGCAATGCTGCAGAAGGCTTTTCAGATCTGGACCCTTCATCTTAAAACTGTTTTTCTTGTCTTGCTTAGTAAGACAATATTTCTATAAATATTAAGTAATATGTTAAAATCTAGAGAACATTACTAAAATAATGAAAACCAAAATCAGAGTGTCAAAACAATGAAAAAGTATTCAACACAAAAAGTAAGGAGACTATCAAAAATAAAAGTTAAAAGTGTGGTAATGACTCTTGAATATAGAGATCACCAATAAAGCAGAATAGAAAGTCCAAAATAAACTATGTAGGAAGCATGGAGAGTAAAGGTGAAATTCTAAATAGAAAGAGACAGCTGCATGGCCACTTAGAAAGAGATCATGTCAGAACCAGATCTTATATCATACACTAAAAGCAACAACAAGAAAAAGAGTTTAAAGTATAAAGATGTAAAACTCATTTTAAAATCCAAGGTTATATTTTTTCTGAACCTATAGGAGAGGGCCTTTCTCTGAGTCAAACCTATTTTGAAGTGTCTCTTGATCTCATAACTCAATCAGTTACAACACAATCTCTTGATCCTTTTCAAAGTAAGATTTTGATAAGTTACATCCCCTCCTTTGCTTTTAAAAATTATAAAATATGACACATTCAGACGAGTCCATCAAATATAAAGCATACAAATAATATAAATTGTAACACCACACCCTAGAAGCAAATTCAGCTTTGCTAAAACCCCAAAGGAGTATATTACAACTTCTGACAACCTTGCTAGAGAAAACCAGTATCACAACTTTTGAATTCCCCCTGGACTGTATCATATACAGGGGATGTCTGAAATACTGTAATTTAGTTTGTTCTGCTTTCCATACAAATCAGTTTTTGTTGCATGTCTTCTTTTGTACTTTTGTTCATTTGTTAAAGATTTATTAATGATTCTTCTAGTTCACTGTGTAGTTGAAAAATGTATTGTACAAAGTAACATTGAGTTGTTTGTAATGCTATTGATAAATATGTAAATTCTCATGTTTATCTTTTATGAAATATTATTAAGTATATTTTGAAATATGCATATACATGTATATGCATGTATACATGCAAAATTCCCTGTGTAACACCCATAGGAATGGACTTTCCAGGTCATAGAGGAGGTGAATCTTGTCCTATTATATAAGGTTTACCATGACTTGTTTTTCTAGCAAACTACATACTTCAAAACAAAGAATGACAGTCTCCACACCAAAAGTTTTCACATTTGGTAGTGGAGGGGCTATGTGGTAGATCTTATTAAGACATTAATTTGCTTTTTTTATATGAGTCGGGTGGAATGCCTCTTTGTGTGTTTATTTGTTTACTAGTTCTTTTCCATGTTTTGTGGTGTCTTTCATGTGTTTTTGACATGTTCTGCCGTTTTCTTGATTTTTTAGGAGATTTTAAAATATAAAACTAAAAAAAAATTTTTAAAAATTAAAAAATAAAATATAAAAGTCCTGAGTTTTGGGGGGTTGGATGACTGTCAAAGTCATTTTTTTATTCTATGATTTCCTTTAACACTTTTTAGAATTTTTTGTAAAAAATAGTTGTAATTTTAGTGCAGTCAATAAAATTTTACTTTATAGCAGGTGAAGTGTTTGTGTGTGCCTCTGTGTGTGTCTTTAGTAACATTTTTTTTTTTTTTTTTGCATCCAAGGACATGATGGTACTTATCTATATATCTTCTGAAATGTATTTTTCTTTTTCATGAGCACATCTATATTTGAATAACAATTGAAAGTCTATGTGATGTGAATTTTGGGTCCAAAGTATTTTTCTGGAGAAGGATGATCTATTTTCCTGAAACAATTTTAACAGAAGATAGTTTTTGTCTATAAACTTATGTAGAAATAACTCTAAGTTAAATATCAGTATATGACTGTATCTGGGACTCTGTCAATTGTTCTTTTGGCCTATTTACCCACTCTGGTGCAAATATAACAATGCATCATTAACTAATTTAATAAGTTTTTAATTCTGCTATACTCAGTGTTTGTATAATGTTCTTCAAAAGTTTCTTGACTCTACCCTGAACATTAGCATTTCCATATAAATTTTAGGATCACTCTATACCTACTGGAAATGTTTATATTTTCACCAGGAGTCCAATAACATTTTTTTTTCATCATTTTTAAAAAAAAACTCTGTGTTTTCATTCATTACAAAAATTTTTACTAGGTAAAGAATTTGGGGTTGCCATTTTCTTTTTAGTATCCTAGAGATGCTTTTCTATTTTCTCTCACTTTTGTAGTTTCCATACAAAACTGCTCCCATTTTTACTTTTAATTGCCCATATGTAAGATTTCCTCTAGTTGCCTCCAGAATGCTTACTTTATGTTAGGTTTCATTGTATTGTCTTTGATGTTCACTAGTGTATTTTTTCTTGTATTTGTACTGCTTGGGTTCTCTGAACTTGTGGATCATGCTTTGTTGTCTTTGAGTAGTGCCACAGTCTGGCTGGGCACAAAAATCACGAGCCACTCAAACAGGAACACATTTTATTTTTGAAACTCCCGCCAATGCCCTGTATGCTCCCGGGAAATATGCCGACCCACACACGCGGCATTCTCCTGGACCCACACACCAACAGGAAATCCCTCCTCCGGAATTCCCTCCTACCGCATTTCCCCAACCAATGAGAACTCTCCGGGAGTCCTGCTAGAGCTCCAAAGTAGCAGTCCCGAGGCAGACAGCAGGGGTCTAATATCCATTTGAATGCAGATCTTAACATAATCATATCATCTCAATGGCTTGCTGGCGTCACCTGTCACCTTTCAACCCAAAATGCCATGCATCATTTTTACTTGGCTATGGCTCTTAGCAGAGTAGTTTTAGAAAGCTCTCAGCCTTGTTCTCTTCCCTTTTCATTTCCTCTTTTGGAATCCCCTTCACATTTACACTAAACCCTTTGATGCTGGTTTTGGGGACACCCTGAGCTACTAGGAACTCAGTTATCATTGATTTCACTCATGACTCTTCGTGCTGCTGTTTAGTTAATTTTATTGACCTATTTCAAGGGCTCTGATTGCTCTCTCTGCTGTGTTTATGTCCAGTCTTTTGTTGAGCCACTAAAGAATTCTTCATCACTAATATTGTGCTTTGTGTTTACAGAGTTTGTTAACAGTTTTCACTTTCCTGCTACAAATCCATATCTGTTCATGTATGTTGATCACCTTTCTGCTAGAATCCTTAAACATAATAATTGTAGTGATTTTAGAAGCCCTGTCTGATTGTTCCAAAACTTGTCGGAACAAGTGCTCCTATATCTATGTTTATTTCTTTAAAATAAATATTTTTAACTTCATTTCTCTGTGTGTCTCATAATTATTAAATCATTAATTGCTAAAAAAAAAAAAACAGTTGAGAATGATACGATAATAGTCGTGCTGCAAATGGACATACCTGTTTTGCTTTAAGATGTTTGGGGACAGGCATGGGTTCAACGTAGTCATACTTCAGCTGGATTTGGGTTTGGTTTTTATGCGTAGCTACCTTCAAAGTACCATAAGCCTGAACTTTCACCAGTGACATTCTGCAATGACGTTGATCATTATGTAAGATCTGGTGTGCCAGGGAGTCTCTAGGTATTCCTATCATCTTTCAGTTTGAGCAGACTCTCCATAGTTTTGTCACATGGGCCTTTTCTTTCTTTGTGCTCAACTTCATGTCTCAGCCTAGGCTGCTTTTACTTGTTACTCAGTTCCAGAATCCTGGTGGGGGCATGAGTTATGTCTTTTTTCCAGGTAGTACATTGTAACTTCAAACCTTGGAAGCCTCTGGGTGTTTCCCAGGGGGTGGGGTGGGGTAGGGGCTTGCCTGTGGCAACCTGACAATGCTCATCTTGTTTTTTTTTTTTTTTTTTTAACCAAATGTTCCATAGCAAGGTGTCAAAATGAGACACTCATCCTGTCTGAGTACATTCAGTAGGTCGCAGTACTGAGTGCACTGGGTATAAAACACACACACACACACACACACACACACACACACACACACACATAAATTAAAGCAAAACAACTTCTAAAAGATACTATGACATTTTTTTTTCCTGGGGTTCAAGTAACAAAATAGAAAAGAACTTCATTTCATTTAAAAAGGCCTCATTAAACTTCATCAATTTAGGAAATTCTTTCTTTCTTTTTTGTACACAAATAGAGCACAATTTTTTTGTTTCTTT